CTGTGCCTCCCAAGCTAGCGTTCACGTCAAAACAAACACCAAAGCTGCAAAAGGCCTATTAACGCCCAAAACGAAATCAGGAACAGTTGTACAGCGCTTCGTATATATAGCGTAAGCGGCTATAACTTTCTGGAATTTCTGACGCGTTCTGGAGCTCCATTGGCAACCGGCATTTGGCCAATACTGGGTCATGATTGGCTGTTGGGTCCAGATTGTTGACCAATCAGATCTCGTCTTGATGCCGGACCGGCAAGCGTACCGAATTTTGGGCCAACCTCGAGCGGGCTAGGCTTCTCGGCCGTAGCAGCGCCTAAAGACGTGCGGTATAGTGGGATGCGCGTGGATTCCTGCCTAACATTATTATTTTGTGTTTGAGGGATCTGCGTCTTCCATCAGTCACTGGTTGTTGGTATACCCTTTAGATGTGAGATGGCTCAGTAGTTAACGCGCGAATTTACTGACCAGAATGCCCATGATTCGAACCCGACCTCTGCCTCTTAACTTTCCCTGTCTAAGCATGGGCAACCCGGCAGTATCCCAGTCCTTGTGCTTCCTTCTTGTGGCATGACAGTTGGACACCGAAAGGGTGCTTCAACTGAACTATACCCTTTCTCGCGGCACTAAGACATGGTTTCTGTGATATCCGGCGTTCATTTAGCTGAGTCGGATGGCTTGGACAATCACCTTCAAAAACTTCTTCAGCTCGCTTTTCTTCAAGCTCCATACCATTCTTGACCTCCGTATAACTGCATTTCTAGTAGCTTTCCAGCGGGGTCAGCTCGGTACTGAAACTTGTCGAAGTTAATGAATGGAACTACCGACATGCGTAATGCTGCTGGAAAGCGGAGCAGTAGCCGGGCCCGCACAATGACGCAGTCAGAGTCATACTGCGTACACCAGCAGCAACGACGATTTTTAATTGATGCTCTCCATCGGTAACTTATAGTCATATTGTCCAACTGATTCCATGTCTGTCTTGCGGTTATTGTCCTTCAAACAACTCGATTTAAGCGTTTATGTTGAAATTTTGTGCTGGCCATGGACAGACAATGATTTGCACACAACTCAAGCAGTCGCTCCCTGTTATCCATACCCTGAGCATCGAATCCAAATCTACCAGCCACTTTCGCTGCCTCCTTACTTATTCGTCCGATTTGGGCATTCATACCACTCGCCAGGATTATTATACCCATTTTTCTTACTGGTCGAACTAATCTCCAAACAATTCCGTCGGAGAGTATAAAAGCCGTTAATCTGTAACACCCTTCCGGTGCCTACCTGCCAAAGGAATCAGGAGGGCTGGGATAGTGCCCGGTTGCTCAAGCCTGGACTGGAGAAGTCGAGAGGCAGAGGTCGGGTTCGAACCACGGACCTTTCGGCTCTAACCACTTGAGCCATCTCGCTGCTACAACAGAGAAACACCGCTTGCCGCATTGGTCTGGATTGATTTTGTACTATATAACCACACAGAACAAAGACGATGGCTTACTGTGATTCAATCCGGCAAATCGTTTCCTGTCTTGAGGGTGAGTGCACGTCACAAACAGGCTGGAACTGATTTGTGTATCTCGGTGGCCCATTGAGCTATACTGGGGGTGTTCGTGCAACACTCACAGAGTCCCTCATTCCAGGCTGGTCAATCGTTAGAGCTCTGACTAGCAGTCTCCTGGTCCTGTATGTTGGGAGTTGGAACACGCGTGGCAACGTGTTCAGTAAAAATGGTAATCTACCTGCATTTCCAGCTCAACACCCTTGCCTTGGGAGTAGGCTTTTGAGCCAAAGGCTTTGACCGAGGATCCTACTCGTCCTCCTGTCTAGGTATGGGCGCGCATTGGCAGTATCCCATCCCACGTACAGCCGTGCATAGCACATATATGAACTCATGCCACGTCGGCCATCGCGTGGTGTTGTCAGTCGGGTCGCCTTACTTGCTGCATACAGCAGGGTGGGCAAGCGGAAGCATGTTACTACTGATGCCTCCATTCCCACACGTTTACGTTCCTCCTTTTCACCCTGCCCCACCCAAATTTGAATGATCTCTCGGCAGGTCTCAGCACTAGGACGGACCCTGCATCACACTCAGCTGCAATTGCTATACGCTCGTCTTCAATAATAACCCCAAGCACTTTCACGGATTTCACGGATTGATACACAGGATCGAGGCTTTTGCCCATGTCTGTTTTCAAACTCTGAAAGCCTGTCTACTTAGCCGGCTCTAATGTTCGCACACTGAAGCAATCGTCACAACAGGTGGCTCTTGCTCGCACGTTGGATCCCCTCTGCATTGATGTATGTTGTCTGTCAGGAACGAGGATGTAGGACGCAAGTACTGTGATCGAACCGATTGTCCTCTGGCTCTATTCCAGGTTCTGGTCGCGCACTTTGGCGATTCAGAGGCTGGTACAGCTGGATATACTAGGATAGGTATTGTATTGAGCGAATGAGCTGAAGCGTCTCTGCTTGATTATACACCCGTTGATAGTCGTCTCTGCACGGTTCGTTTGACAGCATCTGTGAGAGAATCTCGAGAATGTGAGATCCATCGCACCAAGTTTATGGTGCATGCTTACGCCCCAATCGACTGTAGCTCTGAATCTGTCAAGAACAGTCTCTATGACGCTCTAGGTGCCCTTCTAGAGTAGGCCAAAAAAACTCAGGTATCGTTGTGGTTATTGGTGACATGAATGCCCGGGTAGGTAGGCTAAGCACTGCTGAGGCATGCTTGGGAGGTCGTCTTGGATAGAACACGATACACGCGGATAGTGGGGATCGCTTACTTCAGATTTGTACCTATCACAGATTGTTCCTTTGCAGTACGAGTTTCCCGAACAGCGGAAGTCACTTGACAACGTGGTGCCCACCAGCTATAAACCCAAGTAGACCATATCACCGTTAGTTGTCGTTGGCGAGGGTCGATCACCGCTTGCCGCTCCCTCTGGAACACCAGCGTGGACTCCGACCACGCACTTGTACGCTCCTGCTTTTCTTTGCACTTCGCAGGTCGACGCAAAGCGCGCACGCCTTGCTCAGCATTCGACAAGCCAGTGAACATAGAAATCAAATGAAACCATCAGAACCAACTCGTCGAGCGCTTGTCAGACGGTCCTTGCTGGTCACTGGCCAAAGATAGCCAAAGCGCTACCCAAAGCCGGAACGTCTACGTGCTGCACAGCCCAGCCAACCTCATCCAAGCAGAGGCATGTCTTTCTATAGAGGAGAATATCGGTAGCTCAGGTAGCGTAGATGGTCGTTGGCTTGTTCGCTGAGCTGGGCAATTTGGTTGCAAACGTTTCATCACCAATCGAGGTGACATCATCAGTGCGTAGTTGTGCGTAGCGGTGGGTTGGTGGTTGGCACAACCAAATTGCCCAGCTCAGCGAACAAGCCAACGACCAGAGGCATGTCTGTGTCAGACCATACACTGATGCGTTCAACGCTTAAGCTCCGTCTCAGCTCGCGACCTAAAATATTATTTGTGAAACGTTTTGAAGTGATTTCTCTGAAATCACTGAGCGACTGGAACCATCTGTCTATCCTAGGGATGTGGAATCACCAGATGTCGCACATTCACCAGTATTGACCCCTTTTCGTTATGAAGCGACTATACCTTACCGTTGTTTGATGGTTTGCGCACCTCAGCGACCCATTGAGCTATACTGGAGGGTGTGCCCGTGACACCGGGTCCCTTCGGTTAGGCTTTTGAATAAAAGACTTTGTTCGTCCCCTTATCTAGGTGTGAACACTTTGACAGTATCTCAGTCCACGTACAACCATAATACTTACGTCTAACAGTAAACTCATACCACATCGGCCGTCGCGTGGTACTATCGCCTTACTTGCAGGGCGGGTAAGTGAAAACAAGCTACTGCTGACACCTCTCTTCTTTCTCTTTCACATACGTTTGTTCTCTCTTTCTCCACCCGATTAGTAACTCTCCCCCTGTAGGCCCAGCACTTAGGACTGATGACTGCGTTCATCTAGTATAGGTTTTGCATGTAACATCTGGTCGTCAAATGCTGCCAACATCATCAGGTGTCTCGAAATCAATCTTCAAGCCTCGACACCTAATCTGTCTAGTCGTCTTCAATGTCCGCACTCTGAAGCAAGCAGGACAACATGCTGCTCTTGCTTTCACACTTGACTCGCTTGGCATTGCTGTGTGCTATTTATCGGAAACAATAATCCAGGATGCAAGCACATTGGCTGAACTAACCGCCTCATCACTCTCCACTCGCTTCCGGCTGCGCACCCCTGGTGATCCAGAGGCTGCTGCGGCGGGATGTACAGGGGTCGGTATCGTCTTAAGTCACTGACCGGATACCTCTCGGAAGTCGCCTCTGTGCGGTTCATCTGGTGACGTCTGCGAAGGAGCCTCACAATTGGAGAGTGTATCGTCTGTTTGTCGGGTATGCCGGCGTCCCAACTGACAGTGGCTCCGACACCATCAAAGAATGATTCTACGACCCTGAATTCCTTGTTACGGCGAGCTATAAACTTAAATATTGTGGTTGTTGCAAGAGATATGAATGCACAGGTTGACAGACTTAGCATCTCTGAGACTCAGTTTGGAGAGTTTGGGAGTGATTTAATGAGCCTTCTTCTTCACTTGTCGTTTCTCTGAACGTCGCTTTCCTCTGGCCGGTCGATAGTATTTTGATCGTAACGGAAAATTAGGGCAGACAGCATAGAACACCACTAGCAGAATTTCTTTCACACTTCGCCATGCTTCATCCACTTGCTCGTCTGGCGGTGAGGGATGTCCCTTCTAGATTCTTGTCCCTTATATAGGCTTTAAATGCCCTCTCGCGTGGGTGCGTACGTCTACTCCTCCCATAAATTCACTACATCCAGTGGTGTTACACAAGGATGTCATTTGTCGTCGTTCCTCCTCAACTTGTTAACTTGAAAGTGTAATGTGTGTTCTGTTTTATGGTAGTGCTCGTCAGCTTTTACAAAGATGCCCCATAGCCTGATAGTCACAGAAAGATAAGGATTTTTTTCTAATCCTGTTCGTTATATCGGGTTCGGCTTTGCATAATCAGCTTTATGCCATGCAAATGGCTGTAGAGACGAACTCGGCAGGGAAGCATTCTGGGGTGTTTCCATCTCTCGCACAGCATCTCAGGATATACTCCATCGAACACACTGATTTCAGGCGTTTCACAGCTGTGCCTGGCGTGCTCGTTGGTCGACGGGACGCGCGGTCTTTGGCAAGGTTCAGAGTTGTTATGGTAATAACCTTTTCTCTCCGGGATACGTCGTCTTTTTTGGCCTCCAGGCGTTTTGTATGCTGCAGCCTTTCTGACCATCTGTTTATCTTCCCATTCGCTATCTTGTTCATGGGCCGTCATTTGGAGACAATTTTGTGCCATTTCAACTGCTCCATTTTCGGGGACTTTGTTTTTTGGGCAGGTTTTGTCTGGACCCGATTCCATTCAGTCAGTGGATCCCGAAACTAATTGCGGCATTTTGCCGCGGGGTCTTGTTGATTTCAAGGATCGTTCGAGGACAGCAACTCACTGAGATCGTCGAGAACACAGTATGGAGAAACATTTGACGGATCGAAAACATCTTCGCTATTCTTATTATTTTGCGTTTGTTTCTGTATCACACAGGTTTCATTGGGTCCTAATACTTTTGTAACAAACATCTGTCGTTTCTCGGGATACATGACCCGTCGTTAATTGCTAATCTTACTACTTTCAGCTCCTGTCCGGGGTCGGCTGATCTACAACTAATCAGAGTCCAATATGGCGGGGGTTGTTTTGGAAACCCTGAACATCCGCAAACTAATTGCCTTCGGCGCTGTAATGTTTATCATTCAAACGTTATTCTTCCTCATTGGTGGCCTGGTTTCGCCTTCACCAAATAGCTCTGAACAAATTTTGATGTCTCGATGTGTGGACCTTTCGAAAGATCTATCCAAGTGGCTTTATGTGAGGCATTTTGATCTGAATTCTTCTGGCACTAATTGTGCCGAAATTTTGCCTGATGGAGATTTGGATGAGGTAGCTCCTCCAAATCTGGATGGAAATCAGCTGGTTTTTGTCGCCCAGTTCCCGCATCCACGCGATGGCTATAAACTACGAATGACCCGTTGGTTTCAGCAAATTATTGGAGTGCTCATGTTGGACATAAAACACAAATTTGGCACTCAGGTTGGTGTTGTTACTTTTGAGCAACAAACAGCTCTCACGCCAGTTACATACAACTGTGGTTCTTATCTAAGCGCTCCTTTACCCTTATTTCCTCCAACACGCCGTTTGTGTCCTCTTGTGGGGGACGCATATTTTGTTATATTAGTGGTTCTGGTTTTCAGTGCTAATGATCCAGCATGCTCGATTCTCCCTTAGAACGGTCTTGCTTTTTCAAAATTTATCTGCTAAGTGGGTGGTTTCCTGTATTGTGATTGTAATCCGTTCAAATATGGTCGTTTACCTATGAGCGCTGTTACCAATTTTCTGTTGAAGTCAATTTGGGGGAATGCTTTCAATCCCAGTTGCGTGTAAGGAGTTGTGTTGAGAGAGAAAAAACGTGTTTTAAATTAGCCATTTCGGATATTCTGAACGCTTATGGGCAAATAATTGGGCTGCTCGAGTCAGTCTGTCGGCTCTTGGTCCACACGTAGAATTTCACTTTGTTTCCCAGAATACACTGTATGACTTAGAATGATTAGTTCTTCCAAATTGTCCTATGACACGGATGAAAGGATCCTCCTCACTTGTGTCCGCATTACACAGGATAGTCAATAGTTCGTTTTTTTATTTCCCCAAGAACCTATTCGGATATGAATACACGTTCGTTTGTGTGTGGTATCCAAAACAGTGCTGTTTCATCCGCAGTGTAAGTGTAAGAATGGACACAACCTCTCGCTACCTCTGGTATGTAATGAAACTTCCAATTATCGACCGCAGTTCCAGTTACTTCGGTAAATTCTACATACCTCTCTAAGAAACCTGCCTATCCAGTCAGATGGTTTGGCTGGAGACGGATTTTAAACTCGAATCCTCTCATTTTTGGATTTCATCTGTTAGTATATACGCGTCCAGCGGTTACCTGTTCTCCTCACATTATCATGGCTCCTCTATTTCTAATGCATCTATCTCATACACTGCCGTTGACACAGACTTATTTGCACCAGTAGGTTGCATCGTCATTGACACAGGAGTTACAGCTTTATTAGGGCAACAAAGTTTTGGCAACTTATCCTAGTTAGGCTACAGTCGATCATTAGGATAGGTCATTTGCCAAAGCCAGTAAGGCGCTGTACTGTCCAATTTATCTCGGTTGATTGTGTTTATGACCTAATTTATTCATGTTACTTTTCAAAAGTGACATCTTCAGCCCGAGATCCTGTTGTCCTGCTTCATCCTGACTTATTCTTCTCAACCTTCCAAAGTAAATGGTGCATCATTTGCTTCTTTTTTTCGTTTGTATTCCCCACAGACACTCGAAGATAATGCGAGAATTACGTTCGACTTGCGACTTGGCTATCGCAGTCACAAAGATACGAAAGGGGCTTGGCAGGAATTAGCTCGTTCACTGGAAACACGACCGCTTAAATGTGTGATTGATCCAGAGGCCAAAAAGAAAGCGAATCACTCACATGCTCTGGATGACGCTTATTACTATGAGTGTGAAATACTGCCGCTATTCACTCTCGCTAGTTGTCACTACGACGAGTATTTACTCAACCTCCGGATTCCAACAGATGTTAATAGCTCCCTGGCTCGTAGTGGGGCGATGCTTCAGGACGTTTGGATGGTGGAGATCCACCAAAATGGTGGGTTTACCAAGGTATGTTGTTCCGCATTCACAATGGTCCGGAGAAGGTTTCTCTTAGATTGGTCCTTTGTCATGTGTAAGCGTATCAGTAAATTCGTAACGGAGAAAGGGTTCTTATACTTTGGGCAGGTTTGTCAATATGAATTGGAGGTGAGGGAAGTTACTTGCTTCCAGATCCCGCATTTACGGTTCCACGCTGTTTTCCTATCTGACTGAATCCAACTTCCGTTTTTTGTATTATTACCCACTTTCAACTCAGCTGATCTCTTAACATCTTCACTAACAATTTTTGGTGCACCAGGTGATAAGAGACAAGGCCAGGTCATACTTCCTGTTGTTCTTCCGGGAGAGCAGTCCATGTTTTTGAACAACTCTGTGTGCAGTATGTGTGTGCTTTAGTACATTTGCCATTCATCCGTGATCTCCCTCGATCTCCTTCGCCTGTCAGCTTTGGAAGCGTCTTGGTTGTCTCTCAGAGGCAATAGCATTACTGGATTGGGAATAATGCTTACTAGCGGCACCCTAAAAATATACACCACCACCTGGGTATACTCGTGTTTCTTTCATTCGTCCCTCTCTATAGCTGGTAAACCTAGCAGTATATCAGCCGGCCTATTTTCTAAGAATTGTATGTTAACCGTGTACCAGGGGACACTACGGATGCATTTTTTGCTTCTTATTCTATTATCCTTTTACCTTTGATTCGGTCATCTCATATTTTACTTCGGACGCAATTCATGATGATTTTACTGCACCACACTGACATTGTTTCAATTTACTTCAGATATGGTTCGCCATGAAGTCCTTCGTCTTTCCGTTCAGTTTGTTGGCACTGTACTTTTTTGTCTCTCGCGTCCGTGAGCTTCAGCGTCCGATGACAGTACTGGAGAAAACGATCACAGTTCTGGGCTCTGGTCTCATCTTTCTTAATTGCCCCGTTGAATGGTTCTCATTGATGTAAGTTTTTTCCCTAGACTGAACTGATTCGTCTGTAAATCCCCTACTTGCCATGCTCCTCTGCATTATCACCCTTTTTTTTAGATGGAATGCTCCGTTTTGGATTGTCCTGAGTGACGTCCGACAAGGATTTTTCTTCGCCGTTCTGGTTTGCTTCTGGTTAGTTTTCACGGGAGAACATATGATGGATGGGATCCAGTCAGGGGGTCGCGTCTATTGGCCTCGACTGTTGCTAGTAGCCGGGTCGTGCACAGCGCTGGGCATATTTGAACTGGCTGAACGTGGTGTTCAAATTCGTAACCCCTTTTACAGGTAGGTTGTATTTCCTTTGCCGCCCGGTGTCCGTTTTCCAAGGGCGAGATCGCATACTTCACACTATTTGTATGTCATATTTACCGGTTGCTTTCAAGTTGCTCACAATATGTTTATGTTAGTGAAAAGATTTATGATATCCGGATTATCGGAATCGTTGTTCAAACATTGAAGAACTTCATCTTTTTATGAATCACAGTAACATCGTTGACTCTCCACCGTTTGGTGTCTCAGCCAGAATCAATAAGTATCCGTCGTTGATATCCCACCACCACCAATCCTGTCCACATAAAACTCAGTGTCGCTAAGCTAATCGGAAAGATATACTTCTCCAGATAGTAACTTTTAACTACTAAAATGCGTGAATGGAAATGGTTCTGCTATCAATGCAAAGTAGTGGGATACTCGACGACGAGCGGTTTGATGCTTACAGTGACTGATATCCCCAATGCCATGGGCTTTGTTTCTCTGATATAGATTGACGACTAAAGCTTTTTGCATTGCTTTGTGGATAATTTCATCCTCAAATTTGGATTTTAGCTTCCCACATACTCAACACATTGAGATACCTGTTTCCTACTGTGGCGAGGTCACTTTACTTGCATCTAACCGGCAGGCTGTCCCCCAAAATGTAATCTAAGTTTACTCTCACTTTTTGTTGATATTATGGGAAATTTGGGGATTTTAATTGAGATTTCGTCTCGTAGGTGAAATCAGTCTGCTTAAAAGCCATGGGGCCCCGTGTAGCTGTTTCCTTCTTATCAGGAATCGTCAGCAGTGCGCATCTCACGAAAATCCAAAGTCTGGATTACCTTCACTTGCACGATGAAATCTCCATTAAAATTCCAAAATCTTTTCACGCTACCAACAATCCATAAGTGGCTCAGAGAAAGAATAAGTCCACTCGGTGAGTGGAACTTTCGTGTGGGAATTCTTTGCCCGGGGAGTCAGTCAACACCTGTGACTACGTGGTGTGGATCCCGTAATTGAAAGATGAGCGGCGCTATATCCTGTCTCATGGCCAAACCGTTAGGCATTCAAACAACTAACCGCAAGGTCGTGTGTTCGAGACTTACTGGAGTCTCGTGAGATGCGCACTGCTAATGATTCCCAACAAGGATGAAACAGCTATACAGTGGTTCTCGGCTTTTCAACATAGATTGACTTCTCATACAAGACGAAACCTCCATTAAATGTCCTGTTTTCATCTTTTCGTGTTTTCACAAAGGAACAGAGTAACTTATCTTATTTCCGTAGTTCAGTGTTTTGTTGAAATCTGACATACCGCTGTGGTTAACGTTAGTTGTCCACTGCAGCGCTGCCTAGCTTCCACTCTGCAGTCCGAATATTTGTGTGCGTCTGTTTCGCGGTCGCGTTGTTGTTTTCTGTTGTCTCACTGATTCAGATACGACCGTGTCTGATTCACACCGTCTTCGGCGAAACAGACGTTTTATTTTTCCGAACACAACCGTGTTGCTCGCTCTTTACATGTTTTGTTTTGTCGTCACCCCCTATTATATCTTGGTATCATGGATCAATAATATCCGCATCGGTCGATGCTAACATGCTTTCAGTTCGACTGGATCCCGTTAAACTAACACTGTTGTTGTCGTTTGTTCCTTCTGTGTGATGCAGCATTTGGTCGCACCCCGCCGCAGCCAAACTTGGTATTGCCAGTGTGGTCACTGGTGCCGTGTGCGCCTTCTGCTACTTGGCCTATCTGGCATTCGTGGTTGCCAGGGTACTGCTACAAATACTAAGCAAGCGCCGGCTATTGGTCGATCTACCGACTGAGCAACGTCACTATTACACAGGGGTTATCTATCGATTCAGTGCCTTGTTAGGCTACACCCTTGTGTGTGCAGCTCTCACAGTAGCTTTCTTCATATTTAGCCGAGTAAGTTTTGGTCGATGGGTTTGTCTGTTTCTGCGTTCCCATGGCACTGTGTTTTTTCTACATTTCATTCTCAGCACTTGGTAACGGACGGTTTTTTATGCCAGTTTTGAAACAGTTTCCTGTAGTCACCATTTTAGTGTGTAGTCGGCTTGTAGAACTGGAACAAGCCAACTGGATGTGGTGAATAAGTAGACCGGGCGAGGAACAACATGCCAGGCATGGTGCTATAAGAAAAACTACGTGAAGGTGGAGAAGCCCTGCTAATATTCCCGATTAATTCATTATTTACACATCTGGCTAGAATGTTATCTTTAGACCGGAGTGGAACGTAATCCACCATCTGGACAGACCGAGTTCGATCTCTCGCAAGTGCTTTCGTATTGTTCAACTGCCCAGGTTTTGATATCCTTTGTCGGAAATAAAGATCACTTGTGGCTTCATCACCAACAACTATGTATCCGTGAATAAAAATGAAACGAACAAATCTCAGGTGCAAAAAACTATCTGTATGTGTCAAGTTAGTACGGGAGTAAATTGTGCGCGCACTAACTACACCTTGAATTATGCTATATTCCTCAGGTTATCTACTTTTGTAGGTCACTAGTGGTCTTAGTATCTCATCAACTCGGCGTCGTAACTAATACCATGACTTGGTCAGTTTCGGTTGAGTTTCGAAGTTAAAAAGCTAAGAAGTCAAAAATGTGAATTACTTAAGCCTTGTAAGTAGTATGAGCGCCACAGGAGAGTGAATAAACCGATTTGAGAATTAAGGCCTCGATGGAAAAACGAGAGATCGTTCGAGGTCAGACTGAGATCTGTTCCCCCAGGTTCAGCGTTGTCCGTATGCTTATTTAGGTGACTTCTGTTGACGCTGTTTCTCCCCCTCACATAAGAGAATTCGTTTCATTATGTTTGCACTTGCATGGCCTCGAAAACCCGCTGCTCAATTCCTGCGTTTAACACAGTGCTTTCGTCTGCCCAAGTATTGGACAGTAAGCAGCAGGGGTGAAACCGACCATACACTCATAAATTCACCTACCTTGGGCTATAGTACGAATTATATTCTTGTTGCTCTTACCACTGATTCACGTCTGTATTTGGTATGCCATACAAAACACATTACATTACCATCGCCATTCCACACAAAAGTCCGAAGTTATGTCGTTTTATGGATATCCTCTTTATTTAACTTGAGTAGGATTGGTCTCATATTCACTTCGTTGTACTCTATTCTCTCTTTATAAGAAATTTCATTCGGGAGAACTCAGACTGTTTCTAGTTTTGAAGCACTGCATACTTAGAGGTGCGGCCAAAAACGAAGTTGGGATAAAAAGGCTATTAGAATTTTGTGTCGTAGACAGGATCACTGGATCAATGCACTATCAGCATTCCATGGAAACTGCGTTTTTCTCTATATCAGGCGGACCAATATAGATTTTATCCTTTAGTCTGAACGAATCATTCCCTTATTTGGGTTATTTTGCCTTCACTTCATTATTTAGTCTCGAACAGTATATCACACCCAACAGTGGATAGCAACCCATGCCTTCGAAATCTTTCGGTTAGTGTATCCTACGTCTCTCAGATGCACATCTTTGATCCTGTTAGCAAAAGAATAACCAGTTTGTTAGAGATGCCATTAGTAGAAGCGTCTTACTGTCATTTTATGGGTCAAACAAATGAGATGAAGTCCGCTAGTCTACAAACTGACCGCCACTGGCCGTGTACTAGCTAGTTTGGATGAATTTCGTTTTGCCTCACGAAAAATGTGATCTCGGATGAAGCTACACACCACCAATACACCAGTTGGTTCTTTATGCTTGCTGTTACGCTGTACGATTGTCGTTCGTTCAGCTGTTACACCCTTTCGGTGCCTAGCTGCCACACCACCCCAAGGAAGCACGAGGGCTGGGATACTGCCAGGTTGTCCCTACCTATATAAGGGAAGTCGAGAGGCGGAGGTCGGATTCTAACCACGGAGCTGTACTACTGAAGTGATTTCCAGCACCGAGAAACGAACAAAAAAATCAGATTACGGAATCATTCCTTTCAAGGTGTTTCTTTAGTGCAGGATTCTTACGAAGAGGGAACACTGTATTCATAACGCAAAAAATTGAAATTGCTGAAAATGCTATCGTTCCACAGATGTTGCCAAGGTAGCGTTTTCCATTAAGGGAGGAGTACTGTACTAAAGTTCCCCAGTGTAAAACTTTGTGCCAGCTTTATGGCCCATTAGTTTGAGTCATTATTTGCTTTGCTTCACAGGCCCATTTTGACTTGTTGTATGAACTGTTTTGTGCACTAACTTCACAAATAATTGGAGCGGTAATCCTCATCCAGCAACCGTTTTTTCTTCCTGTTACATCAACTCAAACCATCGAGGAGCTTCTCTAGATTCCTTTCTAGCGCGATTTTTTTCGCTTATTACTAATGAGGAGTTTTACACCATCATACGAGTGCGCAAGTCAAGATCATTGCCCAACTGTGACTCGGCCTGTTTCATTTGCATACAATAGCCGAATAGTTGTTGTTTTTTGTTGCGGAATTCGCATTCACTTCACACTTCAGTGCTTCTCCTCTTCGGAGTGGACTCACCAGGAGATGTACAGGACAATTCCGATGGAAGTGACGTGAATACACAGCTGACGAGACTGTCCAAGTTGCCTTGGCCGCCTGTTCTTCTTATTATTATTACTATTAATACGGTCATCATCATTCGAATGGCGCTTGTGAGCTCTGATTGCCTAGTTGGGCACAAGTACCAAATGGCTGGTTGTCATTGGAAATATCGGTGTGAAGCCTAGTCAAACGTGTCCTACGTACCATTTCCTCCACTGAGTATCCGGTGGCACCACTCCCACTCGACTTTCTGTCACGATGTAAATTCGGATGGGATGAGATGGTTATCGCAGTATCTGGTGGCACTTTTCTAACAAGTTGTTCCGCAATGTAACATATCTATCGAAATCAAATTTGAGTTGCTGTCAACTCCTGACACGAAGGTGATCAGTAGCACTTGGCTCAGAAGGGCGGAGTTTTCATTATCAAGCCTTTTTCTTTTTGCTGGTCGGTTCCTGGTGCAACGATGGTAGAAGCAATTTTCACACAGCTCCTTGTATAAACAATTAATATCCAACGAAATGAAGACAGGAGACGTGCTCAAGGTCACTTGTTGAGGTGCATGGTAACTCGAGATGATAACAAGTGGAAATACCGTTCTGAAGTCTAATGTTTCAGAAAGAGGAGGATACAAAGATATCAGTTTAACAATAAGGAAGAGAAGTTTATTAGGGAAGGATTTGAGAACACGGACAGATGGTAGGATAGCTCAGTGGTTAAGGTTCGAACTTCATGATCGGAAGGTCTGTGCTTCGAACCCAACCTCTGCATATCGACTGCTCCTGCCTGGCAGTATCTCAGCCCTCACGCCTACCTCGGGTGACACGGCGGATATTCATCGACAGGGTGTTACACCTTAACGTTTTTTTGTGATTTGGTAGGACTGAAGACTTATAGACAGGATATTGTGAGTGGCGGAAGAAATACAATAGTCGCATCTCGAAGGAGTTGTGAGAGACACATAACATATAAAGCCGAAAAATAAGGAAATCCCAGTCTATACGTGACAACAGTAATTAAAAAATGGGGTCAAGATGGCCCAGGTGGTTAGAGCGCGAATTTAATGACTGGAAAGTCCGTGGTTCGAACCCGACCTCTGCTTCTCGACTTCCCCTGTGTAGGCTTGAGCGACATGGCAGTATCCCAGCCCTCGTGCCTCCTTCGGGTGGCATTGGAGCTAGGCACCGAAAGGATGTTGCAGCTGGATAGTTTATTTTTTTACTTTAGTACTTAAAATCAGGGCTTATTTGGGCTTTGAAATACTTTCGGGATGGGAGTCGATTGTCAGTATTCTTGGAAGCTCGAGGAATTGTACATAAAGACTAGGAGTTGTTAAAATCATAGTGGTTGTTGAAGGTTGAGGAACGTCATGGCAGCCCACGGATAGCTGCAAACCACATGAGACACGGTGGACAGAGTGACCTAGGAGGTTTATAAATGGCTGGAATATATGGACTGTCCGCCACAAGTTTTGCAAGGCTGGTGCTCAGAATGCCGGTAGTTTTGCCAGTCGTCGCAAATCTGAAGAGAAACAGACTGGTTGGAGAACAGGTAAACGGGATATGGTGAAATACACAAACCAGGAGACAAAGGCACGCAAACGTAAACATGTATCGAACAGATAGAGAGTCGCGGCTCAGAGCATGTTGGACAACTTGATAACAACGTCCAAGTCTTGGACGCCTTGCGAGTCAGACCCACTTGACTAAGTTTCTGGACGTCTGTATCGGGAGAGATGGAAGTGTTGATTAATTTGCACGATTAGGCTTTCAAGCAACCACGTAATCCTCCCTCTACTGGGAACTAAATTGGTCAGACAGTGCTATGTGATCGACAACGTTGTACTTGATTCCGGACGGCTGCCTCCTGAGACAGAACTAGTCGGCTCTAGAAAGATTTCAGATAGACGCTGCCCAGTCCCGGCGACCGGCTTCCAGATCTACACCATTCTCTTTCATTGACGGACTCCGTAGACCACATGAAGACATGGCTGTCAGGTTTTCAATTTTCCTCCAAGGCAACAATACCATCTTTGATATGGTGTAGGGTCCAGTGTTTTCTGGTGATCTCAGAATGTTTCCTGAGCAATGTGCTCAAACTGTGGCCGGTACCGTCGTTAAAGTTGAGGTGGACGTGGTAGAATCTTATCATTGGACACTTGGTGGCGAGGTCTCGCCACACGTCGAGGATATTAGCAGTCACCTGCGCACTGACGATGTCTCCTCGACTGGGGACGAAACGTTTGCAAGCCAATTGCCAAGCTCGGCGAACAGATCAACTGCGATCTGATCAACCACCACCATGTCATGTTATATATGGAGTGCTGTTAGCTCAAAATTTAGGAACTCGGAGGCTTAGTTGAAGCATAGATGGACATGATATGAGCGTCTAGACGGGAAAGTCATAGTTTCCGGATAGACTGTGTAGCATACGCGAAGAATGTTCTGCTGTGAACTGTTGTTTTGATCTTGCGTATCAGACACCTGTAACTATAGCATGTGGATGTGTTGATCAAATCCGCAGAATTTCAAACTTCTCAACTATCTGACATTCAGTCTGCTGGACCACGAATTGTCGATAATCTGTACAGCGCAATGGCAAACCACACTGGAAGCAAATTAGAGACTGTCATCTCTTGATCATTTAGTTTCACCTGCTTTGGCGGTTTGAACTGGTCAACAGTGTTCCCTGTTATTGGACTTCTGTCTCCTCATATGCTATCCCACATCCTTGTTCCGTAGTGTCTGCTGGAGTCGTCGTATGACGGGTATTAAAAAATATGTTTCTCATACCAGGCGGTGTTAAGAGCATACACAAAATTTTCCCTGGTATAGTCAAAGAATCTTGCGTTTAAACGAAGCGCGTGATAAAGTCGTCCATTGGTTTATCAAGCTCCTATCCGTTCCTGATAGCCGTAGGCGGACTGTGGAGACATTCAATGGAAAACCAATAAACGGTTGAGTGCAACCAGTGCATTATCAACAGTCATGCATCGTGCGAATCCGACGCATTTATCTTTTGTCCCCCATCTGCCAATTTATGACAGAAATTTCGGTTTGATTGTATCCGAAAGCCGCGATTTCGAATCGAACGCAGTCGGCAAGTCTTCTGCGCTGAAATGTTGGTGAAGTTGAAGGTCGAGATTCATTGGTGAGCTAAAAGTTCGCACGATGTTGCACGTTAAACATGTAGAAATTTCCCTTGACCACCAGTCGGCGTAGTTTACAGCGTAAGTTTCCGATGCTCAACTTGGTTAGGCTATTTGAACGGAAAACAACTTCGGCGCAGAAGAACGGGCTACGCAAAGGAATATTGGGTACAACGGACACTTGAAAGTTGCCTGTGTAGAGCAAAAATAAGGCGAAAGCTAAAGCCGATCTCTAAGGGAACTCTGTGTTGATCACTTAGGTATTTGTCCTGTACAGTAGTGTGAATTTCACCCTCTGCGTTGGTACATTTTTTTCGATTCATTGTCTTAGAATAAATCCAGTTTAGTATTCCGTCATCGACCTCAAGATTGGAAGCCCTTGTGTCTATACCCAGTTGATAGTGCTCACACACTGTTGTTGTAATCGGCGTTCTGTCAGACGTCCTTACCTACACTTTAATTTGAGTATCAGCTGAAAATTTTGAGTAACTTAAAATATCTGTTGTGTGTGTTGTAAAATCTATTTCCTAGATGACAGTCCGTGTGCTTTTTCTCACAGGTTACCGAAGACCAATGGAGCTGGGGCGAAAGGTCAATTGAATACAGCTCTGCTTTTATCACGGGTGTATACGGCATGTGGAATGTGTACGTTGTGGCTGTTCTTTGTCTCTATGCCCCGTCGCACAAGTTTAAAAGTGACTCCGGCAGAGAGCTTTATGATCGCCTTGTGAGTACAACTTCGGGAACGTTCGAAGTAGCGCAGCGCTCGCAGGAATCTTGTGGCCCTACAACAAGCCAAGCCGAAACAATCCAACTTTGTCCGTTGGACGAAACATCAAGTTCTCGTAAACCACGTCCGTCTTCAAAGACTGAATCCAAAGGTCTGACTTTCCTACGCAAGACAGCGTTGGAGTAGGCGTTCTTCCCGGTGCACTCAAACAGTGGTGTTTTCTTCCTCAATTAAGCATGCGCATTTCGTCGGAATTTTATTCATTGATCTCACTAACTACACCATTATTCGGCTTCATTTTTGCTTGTTTATAGACAAGTACAGCAGCATTTTATGCATGTGCATTTATACATTTTCTGCATGAATACCCCACACCTGTTCCACATAATTAACTTTATTGATTTGACTCCGGTTTTGCTGTATTCGTTCTTTACAATGAGAATAAGTGGTCAGTCATTTAAATGTTCCTTTTGTCACACTTCTGGTCAATAAACTTACATTGAGTCGAATGTTCTTCGGAACTTTGACGAAACTGGTCGGACAGCTTGTGGTTTACTATGAGGCGTTTCTATGCAGTGCTCCTGGAGGTTCCCCATACACACTGGCTTCATCTGATCCCTGGTGCGGTCGAGCAGGTGAATTGACCGTGACGCGCAGTCGTTTATGTTTGACAATACGCCACTCATTGGTGACTGGCTGAAAATTCGAGCAGTCCTGTGAGCCACTTGTTCTGTTAGTCATAAAGTAGGTGTGAGAGTTTCCTAACAGCAAACTACTTCACGTTTCGACTCGGTATGAATTCCTCATATACTCTGATGCTGATGCTAAAATGCTACCCTTCTAAATTTGCTTAGCTGAGGATAGCTCCGTTCCTGAATGAATTCGATGTAGATACAAAGACGAAATCAACCGCTTTTAGATTGGATCACGGAAGGATCCTTGATTAACACAGTCCATTCAGTTTGCTTCTTCATTCGTGTACGTATGAACGACAAGACTGAATGAATACTCAGAGTTTGTGGTCGATTCTCTGGAGATGCGGACTTCAAGGAAGTTGAATTTAGAGAATCGGTGTGCGCATCATGGACTCTGTCCTTCCTGGAATACGATAGAATCCTTAAAACTAAAACAAGCTTGAAAAAACATCTGTAGTCAAAACTCGTCCCCGTATCTTTATCTGTTTCGCTCCACAGTACAGTGCAATCCGATGTTAAATTCGAATGGTGTGATTTATTGCTAATCATCTTGACTTCGTGCTAGATTTCCTAATCCATGGTTTTCACTAGCTGAAGATTCAAAAACCTAATGCAACCACTGTTTCTTGCTATGTTTTCCAGAAGAGTGCGGAAAATCACATTTCTCTTGGTGATCCGAAACTGTCTTTGTGGATATTAGGTTTTTGTCGTTGAGCCTAGCTTGGATTCGTTTAGTCTTCCATATATTCGCTGGAATTATTGACCTAACCAATCAACGCCATAAATCATATTTCTGGCGACCAGCATTTCTGTCACCGTACAGAGAGTCGGTTAGGTAAACTGGTTGCGATAAATTCCGACGAATTTCCGCCACAATCATTCCTGACAGCAAATAGTCTGGGTCACCCTCATGGTAGCTTCACTTTGTGCTTGTCGCCTGTTGGCTTCCACAAAACTGCACACAATTCGCCAACCAAATTGGTCTTCTTCCGTCATACTGTCGCGCGCATTAGTTTACCTGATATCATATTCCCCTCAGAAGAGATTAATCCCCGGTGTCAAGTCCTCCACCTTAATTTCACCTCTTTGACGTCGTGATGTGGGAGCTGCTTATCGTTGAGTATCCATGCTCTACCTACTTTTTGTTGGACGACATCCATGTACTAGTGGGTCTAGGACACAATTATATGGTACTCCAAATTGAGGTAGAATCAATGCGAACCTTTTAACTGTCACTGTATGATCGAAGTGTACCTACACCGCAGTCTCTGATAAGATATTCAAAGTTTGCGTTAAAAAGTATACTATAGATCCCTATACCCAAGATATCATTTGATTCCCAACCATCTTTGATGCTGACTTTTACGATGATTTTCCAAGGTGACTTTCGCTCATTCGTCGGCATCCATTTTGGGGGCCAGTTTTATGAAGAGTCATTATAGAGTTGATTGGGTTTCCAATGCTACCAATGTGAGAGAATAATTAGCAGGGAACAACAGATGTCGGGAAAACGACACACGTCGAGCTAACTTGAGACTGTTTCGCAGGCACAACCAGCGTTTAGTGAAGACCATACAAACTCAATAAGCTTGGTACTAGATTCATGTTAGGAAGCAGACCTAATCTAATCTAACCTCACCGAGGACTTTCCTTAAAAATCACTTCTACTGGCTCTTATGATGAGTCATACTAGAGGAGAGTATAAAAGCACTATTCTTCGTTGTAGCATCCCTTCAGCGAGTAATTGCTTTGTCAGTTAGTTCCATGCCGCTCAGATGTTTCTACCCCCATTGTTTTCTTAGCGGTTTTCATCATCGATATCAGTTACTCATATACTCATGGGCGAATGCAAATGAGGTGCGCACATCCTCAACCAAGATCGTGTGTCAGCTAACTGGTGACCACTGGAGTTCTGGCAGAAATTAGATCGGGGATAAGCGTGAAAAGCATGGATCTGCTATAATCGCTTAAATGTTATCTGGGTCTCAGATCAAAAGCGCAGTCTGAAATCATTAACAGCTATTCAATTGCCAAGACTATCTCCATACAAGATAATGTCCGGACTATACCGGATTTCATTAATCATCAGCATTATGGCGAAGGTGAACCATCCTCTGGGGCGCTAATTCCATTGTCATCCAAGTAAATGCCCCGAACTAGGTGGAGATTGTGAACGCATTTCACAGGTCCGTGCAACCACATTCTTTTAACATTGGTGATATTTCTATCTATATAAAATGCTTGATACTTGTATGGTGTACCATTTTTCTAATCCCCCGAGAACTTTTAGCCATCGCTGAAAACCCTACTTGCTTCAAAGAATAGTTCTGGAAAAGTTGAGAACTTTCTCAAAACCCATTACAGACAGTTCGAAATGGCAGTTCAGTGAGCATTGAAGTTGGTGACAAAAAACGATGCTTCGTTTTCAAAAGAGGAGAATGTCGGTAGATCAGGTAGCGTAGATGGTCGTTGGCTTGTTCGCTGAGCTGGGCAATTTGGTTGCAAACGTTTCATCACCAATCGAGGTGACATCATCAGTGTGTAGCTGTGCGTAGCGGTGGGTTAGTGGTTGCGCCAACACGACATTAACACTAAAGTCAGCTTTCCCATCGGTCGTCTATTGAAGAATTGAAATCTGCATGGTTGTCGAATATTTGACAACTGTTTACCACTACTGCTATTTTCATGCGCACCCTCCACAGAATTCTGCTCAATTGACGATGATACTGTTAATTGTTAAAGTGCCGTTACGGAGTATTTTGCGCATATCCCACGCCTCATCGAACAAAACAAGGTATCGTGCACTAATCTTCAAGAAACGCTCGGACATTTTTAAAAATTACTTGTATGTATTATCATCTGTTTTCCTTACCAACGTCAGTTGTACCCAAAGGCTGCGTGGCGCATACCAATAGTCGCCTTACACCGGCGTATGAATTCACCGCGATCTGTTGTCTTCAATATTTTGATTTAATGTAGCAAGTGATGATGCAATGCTAGATAGTGAATGGATGTACCCTGACTCTCCTATTTCCGTACGTGTAGTAATTTTCTTTTGAAAATTCAACACACCTTAAAGCAGTTGAACAAGTTGACAAAATGATTTCGCAGGTTTTTGAAGCCATTAGTAACAATATAGATGGCTGTGAAAACAGTCGATGTTGTGCTCGATGGAACCGATCTGAAATCACAAAAAAATCACGGAAATTCACCTAGGGACTTGATTTAGGTAACAGGTGCGATGGATATTTTCTGCAGCATTGTGAAGGGAGGTTTGCTGCTTTCTCTTCTGCATGGAATTTATTTTTACGCTTGGTGCTGGCTTCGTTAATGCGTTAACTCATAACCACGTCAACGCATCCCTATTTCTCCGCGTCAGAAAATAGCAAGAGTAGGGCCATGTGGTAATCCGCGGCATGCATAAATCACGAAAACAGTTTGCCTACTCACAAGTAGCATGAAATAACGGCACAGCGTTGGTCATCGCCACTACTCCTGTTCGTAATGCTGCGCCAGGAATCAGTTTTTGTTGTCATCCTCATACACAGATGCGATAGATGTCAAAGGAATCTGAAAATTGGTGGACCATGTGGTCTGCCTTGATTCTAGCAGACAAATTATACTGTCTATCAGAATGAGGTTAACCAACTGGCAGTAAACTACAACAATGAAGTAGTGGAACCCCAGAATACTATTGAACACCCACACCTACAGAGATTCATGCGTATTATTAAGCCAGTGAGTGCTCTTGGCAGCTTTCATGTAGAAATGAAACCACAAGCAGCGTCAAAAGAATCCGGTCAAGCTTATTTTTGGCGGCTGGGTGACAGTGAATCGATTTTGCTGCAGTCATAAAAGCAAATCTCACGGACGCGTTCATAAGCAAAGAATTTAATGATTATATANTTTACAAAAACAGGCAGAGTAGCTGCTATGCATCGTTTCAGACTGGTGTGCAAAGGAATCCCTCTTCGTTTTGGCGAGCCCCTCGCCATTGGCCATTATGGCGATATCCACCTTCCCACCACACAAGCGGTGATCTGGCCACGCATCGCGCTACGGTAGTTGCGACCACTTCATCAGCTTTGTGGATTACGACTGGATGTCTGCCAAAAACACCTCCTCAAGAGATCACATACAGCGAACCCCCTTAAGGGCAATCCTACGTGTAAAATATGTTTCCATTAATAACTTCCTCGCTCCTCATAACAACTCTCCTCGCCTCCCGCATATTCCGTGGTGTTTTTAAAAAATACTTTTGAACTTTATAACTGCCTTTGTCACCACTAATTCTGTATCGTCAGCAATCAAGTGATACTGATGTATCATGTCCAGATCTACTTCGAATAAAGATTCCTCTAGAGTGGCATCATGAAAGGAAAGTGGCATTGTATTCTTGGGAAATTTGATTTCCTAATGCAGAACACTAATTCCCTAACTTTTACTAAAGACAGAGGTCACATTTCATCAATCCTCCCGGGTTCTTCCCCAAAATATCCTATTGAAATCAGCCAATAAATCCGGAACATCCTAAATTTTGGGGGTGGGCGAGGTGGGCAGGATGGTGCTTTGAAAGCTTGCGGGGATTCCGGTCCAATAGCGCGTCATGATGAGTGCAAAATTAGATGTGTTTCGCCCGTATATTTTTGGCATGACCGAGAGACAGGTAATAAGGAATTATATGTAAAATATCGACGCAATTTCGGACACTGGATGCATACATATTCGGGAGTGAAAAAACGTATTTTCAACCCTTATTATCAACTAACAGATAACAATTAGAACAGGGTGATCAGCCAGTCCCAGAACCCCAA